CACTGTGCATATCCTGGCTGAGACCACACCCTGTCCGCATTGGCTGCTCTGACCGCCGGAATCTCTTCTGCAGAAAGGGTTATCTGAAGGCCTCCTGAATTGCATTTGGCCCAGGCCTAACCTCTTGTCCATCTTGGCCTTGGCACGTGCCTGCTGCTAGCGTTGTCTGGTCCAGCACGTTTATGTTCAGTAAGCGGCCACGCTGCCAGGAAGCAGGTGCTTTGATAAGCCTGTTGTCTGCACACCGGCCTCATTCTCTTCCCCATAAATTCAGCAAAGATGGTCCTGGCCAGAGCAGAGCTCTCTCAGCTGCCCACAGAATGGGTTCTGTCGGCAAAGCAGACATCGTGAAGCCAGGCTCAGGAGCCCCTGCTTGCCCCCTCTCTCCCCTCAACACACACAAAAGCAGGAATCCTCATCTTGCTTGTAGGGGATCCTCTCGGGGTCTGTTCCTGCCCTGGAATCCTTTAACATAGTCCGGTGCTGTGCTGTGTCCACATTAACTACACATCTTTATGAAAAGTACCAACCAAACCTGGCTCCAGGTACTGTCGAGATGGACCAGCACAGACAAGATGTCTGAAGTCTGTGAATGCCTGCTTGGCTGGTCAGAGGGCGTCCGGCCTTCAGAGCAGAACCCTAGGACCTCTGACCTCTGCTGCATCCAGGCAGCATCTCAGTCAGCATCACTGAGCTCCCTGGAAGTGTCTGCTGTAGGTGGTGGGAGATGGGTTCCCCACTAGAGACAGGGTGGCCTGGGGGCAGCTGCCTTCCACTGAAGACCTAACCCCACAGGCTACCTCTGCACCAGGTGACCTGGCGTTCTGTTGTTTCATCGTCCTCTTCTTTTGGCTGCAGGGAGACAGTCCCGGCCCAGTTCAGAAGAACCTGCACAACCCCATTGTACAGGTAGGTGTGCCCCCACCCCACCCCGACTCCACCTGTGATCTCTGAGCCCTTGGCCACTCCCCTTCCATCTTCAGGCCCTCGGCACAGGGAGGGGCAGCTTCGGGCTGAGTCAGGTATGGGCTGGTAGCTGAGACCCACTAGGTGTGCCCGGCTTCTATGTGCTGTCCTGTGCATGGCGAGCATTTTCTCGCAGCTACATTGAAAAATTATCATTTCAAGGTTGATGGCCCGGGTGGTGGGCTCTTGGGGCCCCTTCCTGCTGGAATAGTTTATTGATCTCTATTATTTATTCAACATTCTTTCATCAATGAGGGGCCTGCAGGGAAGACCATCCCTCTAGTCCGAGCTTCCCACCTGCCTGTCTGCACGCTGCCCGTGTACACTACAGTTCACGGGTGAAGGTTTTCTCAGTGCAGGGCCTGGAGGTCGGTTAAGAATGATGTTTGGGGAGGGCTTCATCTAGTCTACCCCCCCCCCTGCCTCTTTTTATGGGTAGTGCCACCCTATGTCTTTGTGTAAGGCACCTGACAGTTTCTAAATGTCCTAGCAGCCACAGACCCCAGAGTCAGGAGGGCAGAGCAGGTATCCTTGTTACCCTCCCCGTTTCTCTGGGGTCAAATCTGGGGGATCTTTAGGATCCAGTCCCACAGGTAGACATGTAACTAGCCCAAGATGCCTACTCCACCATGTCCAGCCTTGCCCTTGGCTGAGACGAAGCTCCAATGCCCTCTCACTGTCCAGACCAGGGGTTGGAAACTACAGCTTGAACGCATAGGCAACGGCTCTTTCAGAGCCTGTGCATGGCTCTGAAACAAGACTGAAAGTGAAATTAAAACGATTATTCTGAGAACGGGGGTTTCATTTGTTTTTTAGAAATGCATTACTCCCAAGTAATTTTCAAAACGTTGTGAGAAGCAAGATTGACTCTTCTATCTCATAAATTTGCCAACTGCTGGTCCAGACCCACCCCGCCCTCTTTTAACCCTGATCTCACTGCAGACGGCCGGGGTGGCCCCTCTGACCCCGTGGTCCTCTCCTGCCAGACGCAGTCACCCACAGGGTGGCACGCTGTGCTCCTGCACAGCCCTGTACTGACACAGTGAAATTGCTTTTCAATAAAAATCTTGTTGCTCTTGCCTGCTGTGAGTCGGCCCCACCCGACCCCACGCCCCTCAAGCATGACACCAGGCACAGGGACCCAGCACTACCAGGTCTGCCCCACTCCCCTGATGGCTGCTGTTCACAGTTGGCATCCACTGGGTTTCACTGGCTGAGAACAGCCAGGCCTCTCTCGCTTCACCCTAGTACCAAGTGCTCATGACGGGCCTGGGCTGCTCTGTGCGCCTGCCCTCCCTTGCTGGCACAAAGCAGGTGCATGCCTGGGCTGGCGGTTCAAGGCCACCCAGAGCATCTTAGAAGGCAGGCCTGGCTGTCAGCTCCCAAAACAGCAACGGAAAAGCCTGGGGCAGTTTGACCCTAACCCTCATGGGGTGGCCGGGGTCAGCCGATGCGAAAGGCCTGATGGCAGAGTTGGTTGGCTGGTTTACTGATTTCATGCCAGGCCTGGATAGACCCTGTTGTTGGCCCCTGGGGGCCTCTGCCCCTGGCCCGGGTTCCCCTGCCTATCGAGGAGCAGACCCGGCCAGGTGGCTTGGAGCTGGGAGAGGCCGGCCCAGCCGGGCCCTGCCCCCAGCTAAAGCCTCGTTTGTTCCTCTCCCTCTCCGCCACTCTGCTGCCACCCGACCGACCCTTCAGTCACTAGAGGACCTTGAAGACCAAAAACGGAAAAAGAAGAAGGAGAAGATGGGATTCGGCTCCATCTCCCGCGTCTTCGCCAGAGGGAAACAGCGGAAGTCCCTCGACCCCGGCCTCTTTGATGGTACCACCCCTGATTATTACATAGAGGAGGACGCAGACTGGTGATAGCCGCCTCCCTGCGCCTGCCGCCCGACGGGCGTCTGGGCGCGTGTGATTGTGTGCGTGCGTGCGTGCGTGCGTGCGTGCGTGGGGCTGCGTGGCTGGGCGCGCTGGGGGCGGGGCCGTGCGCAGGTGCGCCCCCGCGCACGTGGGTGCTGGGTGTGGTCGGGCACCTGGGACAAGGGAAACCCCGCGTGTGAACCCCGCCCTGTGCGTCGCCACCTCTGTAATTGATGTACATACTGCAAACCGTGTGTGAACATGTCAATCTCTGTTGTCTTCGGAGCGATACCGTTGTATTATTAATCTGGGCTTTGTTTTTTTGTTTCGTTTTTCAATGTTTTTGTTTTTTGTTGGGTTTTTCCGGTTTGTTGGGTTTCGTTTCTTCATTTTGTTTGTTTTTGTTTCTCCCATCCCCGCCTCCTTTTTATGAAACTTGAAGGACTGCTGTGTATTTGTAAATAACAGAGACGATTGTGCGCTCCGTGCTTGTAACTGCCCCTCTCTGAAGCCCACCCAGGATGGGGTCTGCTTCCCATGTGCTCCCCCGCCCGCCGCCCCCACCCCCGTGTGAATGTGTGGGACCAACTCCTGTTCTCTGGGTGTGCCCAAGGCTCTTTGGACACTGAACGCCCTTGTCGCCAGGGTAAGGTCGACTCTCCGCCAAGCCCCCCCTCAAGCCCGGACCAGGGGCCTGGCTGAGTTTGGCATGAGGTCCAGTGGGCTCTCTGAGCGGCCTGCAGGGTCTCATGTTGCTTTGCCGTTTTTCTTCTCTTAAGGGGAAAAAAAATTGTTTCATTTAATTTATTTGCACAAATTCAGAAAGTGTGTCCTATGGAAATTACTGCATCGCTGTCAGAAAGGTGGTCTTTCCACAAGGTGGGCGGGAGGCAGGGGTCTCTGTTGACACCATGTCCTGTTGACACCATGTCCGTGGTGTTACCAGGCTACTGCCAAACTGGGCAAGGTGGGGTGTAGGCTGGCCAGAACCCAGGGACCCCTGGATCTCAGAGCTTGCCCTTCTTCTACCCCTTGGCCTTTTGCCCCCACGCTGGCCCCGCATGGCAATCCTGGTTTCCTCTGCCCTCCCACACCTCTCCAGGCCAGCTCTGCTTCTTGCTTACAGCACAGGGGTTTCAGCTGTGGTCACCTTGTCACAGGTCTGTGAGGGGGGAAGGGTGAAGGCAGGGGAGAGAGCCACCCACCCACACTGCCCTCCCTGCCAGCTCTTGCTCACCCTTGTCCATCAGGAAAGAAGATGAGGGGCTTGTCCATCTGAAGGGGCAGGGAATGTCTTGGGAACATAGAGTCCCAGACCTTAGGCCCTCTGCCCTCCCCATTCCGGTGGCAGCACCTAGTCTTTCTCGGGGTCCCTGTGGCCCTGTCACAGGGGCCTGAGCCCATGAACCCCAGAAGGTCAGGGCTGCCAGGAGCAGGTGAGGGAACAGCTTGCAAATTCATGCTGGGCAGTGGGGTCCACCTTAAACCACTCACCGAGGTCCACCCAAGGCCCAGCCCCTGCCCCACCCCACCCCTTTTCTTTCAGCCTGTGGAGCACCTTCTGTTCTTCCTTAACCACTGACAGCTCCACTCACAGTATCCTCTAGACAACAGGAATTGCGCTTTCTGCTAACAGTCACATTGTCAGCTCTTAAAAAGCACGCCAGGCCCCCCAAGCCCACTGGGGTATCTGCCAGAGAAGCTAGGCGCTTTGATCCGAAGCCACTGGAACCAAAGGAAAGACCCTAGTCAGCTGCTCGCCTCCTTTCCACCGGGTCTAGGGCTGGGAAGCAGTAGGCGGGGCATCTGGGCAGCCAGCGTGTGAGTGGCCAGAGCTGGCAGCTTGCTCTGCAGAGACGAGATTTTAGGCAAGGCTTTTTGCTCCCTTTGTGATTTTCTTTTCTTCTTTTTTTTTCTTTCTGCTTTTGTTTTTTCCTTTGCCTCTGACGAAATGAGATCGCAACCACTCCCAGTAATGATTTAGTAGTTCCTTTCCATTTCAGTTCTTTTGGGGGGGGTAAATTAGGAGATCATTCTAAAAGTGACTAAGGATGATTTATTTAAGAGAACTACGTCAAATAGCGAATGAGTTATGGGTAACATTAGATGAAAGTCACCTTTCCCGTGAGAAAGGGTTCTCGAAGGCATGGATGCAAATATAAACTATTAAAAAATCTAAATAAAGCTTATTTTAAAATACTGCCGAATTCTATCTTATTTGATTGCTTCTATTTGGCTCTGGGTGGGAGGCTGCAGCCGCTCTGTGGAACTCCAGGGCCGGGGCTGCGGGGGCCAAGGAAAGCTGGCTGGACGCTGGGCATGTGAGGGGCCGGGCTGGGTGGCCTCCAGGAAACAGCTTGTCTCTGTCACCCTGACCATAATTTCGAGGTGTCGCCAGCCTCCAGAGCAGCCCTGTCCTACGGCACCACCTCCCTCTGGCCCTGGAGCCCTGCGTTTCTGGACCCGAGCGCCCCCAGTCAGCTTTCTTCTGCTTCCTTCTCCCCCAAAGGGCCTGAGTTCCCGGCATGCTGCTTCCTGCAGAGCGAGGACCCCGGGGCTTCTTGAAGTCAGGGTGTGCCAGGCAGTCCCTGCAAATGTAATACCGGAGTTTCCCCAGGGAGAGCCAAAGTGCTGCCAGAAAAGAGGCCGCTCAGACAACGACCAACTTAAAAAAAAAAATTCTCCCCAGCCTTAAGATGGAGGGGAGGCCAATCTTGCTTTTTCCCAGGAATCTCAGCTGGAAAACGCACAAAGCAAGGTGACACTTGTAAGTACACTGTACTGAGGAAGCATGCATGGACCCCGGTTAGTAAGGAAGCAGAGGGATGCTTAGGATCCCAGGAGGTCAGGAAGGCTTGGAGTTGTGAGGGACTGAGCTGCCGCCTGTAATTAATCAGTGCTACCTGCCCAGAGCCTCACCAAGGGAGTAATGGCATGTGTGTTGGACCGCTTGCCCGCCTGAATTAGTCCATAGTTCTCAAATCGGCCACATTAGAATCACCTGAGGGAGGAGCTTTCAGGGAAAAAAATCCTGATGCTCTGGCCCTACTCTGAGTCAGTGTAACATGTCCTCTGGTGCTCTTAATGCACAGCCAGGATTGAGCACCACCGGCTGACCCAAGCAAACTTGCTAGCATAGAAGCCATTGCTTCCTTCGCCCTGGCCTAGGCAGACATCACGAATCAATTAAAGAGCCCTTCCCCCTCCCGAAGTGGCCTCTGGTTTCTTCACTTTCCAGTCCTTCAGACAATCAACTGGAGTTGGCATAGAAAGACGAAGCCTATTTACCATCCAAAACTAGTCCAGCCCCTCCCACTGAACAGGTGGAGAGAACTTTGATCGGGGGCAAGTTATTTGGCTCTGGTCCACTGTTAACTCCGTTTTGACTCATAGTGGTCCTGCAGGACAAAGAAGAGCTGCCTCATCGGGTTTCCAAGGCAGAGACACTTTAGAGAAACAGAACACTGTCACCACGTTCTCCTACTCACTGGCTGGTGGGCTCGAACCCCCGGCCTTTCAGTGAGCCGCTGAGCCTCTCAAACCACTGTGCCACTAGCGGTCCTCCTAAACTCCAATGAGCTTCTCAAGGCCAGGCCACATCTGACTCAGGTCACCACAGCTCTACACAAAAGCCACCGCAGCCCCTTGGTCACCTGCATCTTCTCTGAGCCCGCGCCACCAGTGGTCTAACTGGAGGTGCCCCCTCTGGTCAGAAATTGGTGAAGGGCTGTGCAGGGCACTCAGGGCCAGTGTCCAGTTGTGTAGGCTGTGTACTGCCTGACTCCAGAAAGCACTGCCCTCGAGCTGTGCCGCACACACACTGACTGTGCCCAGTGGGCTCTCTCCATGCCCTCCCCTCTGTGCCAGCAGGCTTGCCTGGACGTAACCACAGTAAGACTGTCGTAACAAGAATAATACCATCTAACAGTCCTTAAACACTCACCATGACCCATGCTGCGCACCTGACACACATTAATCCAGGTAACCCTCCTACCACCTGTGTCATCGAGAAGACGGGCAGTGAGTTGGCCAGCTTCCCGGGGCTGCTGAACAGTGGACTGGGCTTTGAACCTCTGTGGTCTGGCAGCACAGTATATGCTCTCAGCCACCACCACTTCCCCCTAGGCCAGTGGTTCTCAACCTGTGGGTTGCAGCCCCTTTGGGGGTCGAACGACCCTTTCACAGGGGTTGCCCGATTCATAACAGGAGCAAAATGACAGTGATGAAGTAGCAATGAAAATAATTTTATGGTTGGGGGGGGTCACCACAACATGAGGAACTGTATTAAAGGGTCTCAGCATTAGGAAGGTTGAGAACCACTGATCTAGGCAGTGGGGCCTGGGCCTAAGCAGGGGGGCACCTGCTCACTGATGGGCATCTTCTAAAGGCTCCCATCCGCCCCTTAGTTGCCTATCATTTGGAGTTGGCATCCAAGGCACAGTCTCTTGATTTGGCCACTCGGCCGATTTCCATCCTCCTGGCCCTCCGGGCTCAGGGAGGAGCTGGTGGGAGGAGCAGCAGACATGGGATGAGGCTGAGCCCTGGCCCCACGCTGCTTTGTGGCACTGTGGTCGAACCCCCTGTGCCACCCCAGCATCCTGGGGACTAGCTGCACCCCAATTGGGGTAAGGGGTTTGGCATTCCTCCCGGCCATAGGAGGACCCTTAGCTGTTGGGCTGCTTGCCTCAGTCAGCCTGGGCTCCTTGGGGATCCAGTTGTAGTAAGCTTGAACCGTGGAGGGGCCAACAAGCAATAAAACCATCCTGGACGTCTCCCCAGGAAAATGGCGCCAGGACCAACCACAGATGCCCCTAGCCCACCCATCTGCTCGGAATAATTGGTGCTCAAGCATTTTCAGCCCTGATCACAGAGAACATGCTATGGTCCCTGACCTCCCACCCACTCCCATGGCTCAGCGGGCAACCAGCTTGGTGAGGATGAAGAAACAAGGGGGAGCATTCA